TAAATGTTAAAAACCCTGGAAGGGAGGATTGGTGGGGGGTGGGGGGGAGGGTTGGGACTGACCGCGCGGTTGGAAGAGGGGGGGAGGCAAGGTGGGGTACTTTGATTGACAGATAGTGTCGTGAAGATTATTTTTTTTTTATTAACTGAAGATATTTGTTTTAGCTCATAAAATTCATACAAATTACCCGGTCAGAATATAATTTACATTGCTGGAATTCTTATAATTTGGTGATCATTTTGAATATAAACATCATATATTTTGCATTAAACATACAAATTTTAGATAAAATTTTTCTCTAGGTAACTATGTTATCTTTTGTGCAAAATATATGACATTTATATTCAAAATATTCCTGGTCTTACAAGGAATCCAGCAATGTCAATTGTATTATCCTAACTTTAGTTTGAGGTATTATTTATTAAAATTTAGTGGTTTTCCCCCAAAAATTTCTCTGAGAGGGAAGAGCCGCAGTGTAGTGTGAGAGGGGAGGGAGTTGAGTCCATTATTTGAATGGACATTAACTTGGCGACTGTATTTCTCTATTTCTCTTAAGTATTAATTGTGTGCATGTACCATCATAAAATTAAGATGTTATTTTTACTACAACATAGGTATGTGTCTTCAAAAAGTGGAGTTTGGGGGTCGGGCCGGTTTCTATTGGAATTAATCCCATATGTTCTGTTGTTCACTTAACGCGGATTTCACTTAACGCGGGACCCTCTGGGTTCAATTGACCGCGTTAAGTGGGGTACAACTGTAATTTGGAGTAGGTGTGGCTCTCTCAAGGAATGTTCTTTTGCCATTAGTGAATAACAGATTTATTTACAATGCTAATGCAACAAATCCCACCTTTTTATCTCAAATGGCAAGCTTGCTATGACTCATTACATACAATTACCTCTTGTGTGGTGCAGTCATGTGCAGTGAGGTGAGTAACAGGCCAGACGCCAAGTGTCTCGCAGGAGAGTGCCTATGTACTGACCACTGTCATATATGTTAGTTAACGTAAAGTCAGATGATTCATATTACATTCAGAAGCCCATAAAACATGAAGCTATAACTTTTTTATTGAGTCCCCCATCTGAGATGCCCGTTTTCTCACCGCTTCAGTACGCCCGAGGCCTTCTTATCGCCTAAAGTCTAACGACAAAATTTCAGTAGGCCCTAGTTCCTTGTTTGCTGACAATGTGAGAAATGACATTACATGTATCAGCTTGTGTGTTCGACGTCAATTTATTTATTGCCTTGCAAGTTAGAACACTGATTAGATTGTAAACAATACACTTAAGAAACTGATCTGACCCATGACACTGATTTTCATAGTCCAATGTATAATGCAGGTGAGTTAAAAGAATATGTATGTACATGCACGAGGAGGCATTCTGACGTGCATGATTTGCCATACGCCTCGTATATAGCAAAGTCTATGGGAGGGAGGAGTTACTTTTCTGACGACTCTTTCATTGTATCTCAGGTATGTAACTAGTGCCTCATGCTCGCCATATTAAGAGAATTTAACGCAGTTGAACTTTTTTTTAATATATCAGTGTTCATGTTTTAACATAGTTGAAAGCCTCATCTGCCAGGTGAAAAATAACGTACAGTGAGTTCTGCTATAACGCGTGTTTTGATAACGCGAATTTGCTCTAACGCGATTTATGAATTCGGAACAATATTTGTATAACGCGATCGCTTGTTTGCTATAACGCGATTTTTGCTTACTATTTCTCCAATTTTGTGGTATTAACTGTGAATATGGTAAAGAAGAATATCTCCAAAAAGCATTCTGATGATAGAATTCCCGGTGATTATCGTAAAAGAAAGGATATAACACTTGAAGAGAAGCTTGATGTTATCAACCTCAAAATCACCCTTCTCCCCCATCAAGTTACATTCATATTTTTTCAAGGTAAAGTGTTAAATTTACTGTATGATTTCATTATTAGATATGAATGTAACATTTATTTAGACTGTGCTATCCTTTGTGTTAGGCTAACTACTAAATTTTTTCGATTTCGAGTAATCTGCACCTAACCCTATTTTCTCCATAAGCCCTGTTATTTCTATTACGCGATTTTCTATAACACGATATTTTACAAGAACACAATTATCGCGTTATAGCAGAACTACCTGTAACTAGATATCGTCTGTGTTGACTCCATGCGTCTTCCTTGCCAGATGTGCGAGATAATTTGTATTTGATTTGACTTTTCTGACGACTCTCTCATCATATCTCAGGCACGGTGGGTGTTGTTGCCATTACTTGCTGCTACCGACTACCAGTAGCAGCCTGCAGGCGGGATGTCCGAAGCAGGATGTTTTTAATTCAGCGAGATTAAAATCAGAGGGAGTGAAGTGCCCTGGGAGCTAACCAAGGGAGAGTGGGCACTCTAGCACCGCATGTCGGAGTTTAGCGAGGCTACAGCCAAGCGCATGTGTTTGAAAGCCAGCGGGGTAAGCCTGGTGTACACTATCTTGACTGGAGTCAAAGATTTTTCTTTGAATGTATATGATTGTGGATAATTAGCAGGAATATAATTGTCCCAGGTAGAGTAATGACACCATAAAATATTGCTATTACTAGTACATGTATTAGAGTTTGAGATATACAATAGTGAGGAATTGATGGTCTATTCACAATATCTGAGATGCTGGTATAAATTTCCTGTGATAGCATGTTGCTCTAAATATTAATACCATCATTCTGTGCTATTAGCAAGTGTGTAAAGTGACCATCTTTAGTGTCAGTGATATATACCTGTAATAATACATCAAGGAGATATAAGTAGTTATGTTAATTGAAGATCTATTTTTGGTACTTATAAAGTAAGACCTAGTGGTCTGTTCTGTCTCAGTGTTATGGATGTTTGATGTTGTAACAAATAATTGAAGATCTATTTTGTGACTGATACACTAAGACCTAGTGGACCATTTTGTCTGAGTGTTACAGTAAGGTAATCAGTGATTGAACCTAGTTTAAGTAGTTGTGAATAAAGGTTCAAATTGTCATACTTCAGTAATATCTCTGTTAGCTGGAATCCCTCTTAACAGGAACTCTCCGATAGCCGGAATTAAAATCTCAGAAAATCGTTCCCAAAATCGTAATTTTGCGGAAAATTATGGCTTAGGGAATGATTTTCCGAACGGCACATTTTCTTGAAAATTCTATGGCTTTGGGAATGATTTTCCAAACGGCACATTTTCTTGAAAATTCTGAGAAAATTTTCCCATTGCTCCTCTCGGAGCAGCCAGGTCAACTGTTAAGTTGGCCCATACCAACCCCTTCCCCTGAACCCTCCTCCCCACCGGAATATCAACAAGTTCTCGCCAGAAGTTACAATTTCATTAAGGAAAGGAATGGAACCAGTGTTAAACAGAGGTGAACAGTGGTGAACAGTGCTTAAGTCAGTGAGAACAACTCAACAGTAACAGTTGTACCCAAGTTAACCTTCACACAGTGAGGTCCCAGGTACCCAGTGATAACGGCCCAGATAACCAGCGATGTGTTAATCCGTCTACGATAGGAAGGCCTGGGACCAAACCTCACTCATATAACACCATCTGTGAGGGAATTACTACACCACATGTCCCTCATAACACCATATGTGAGGGAATTACTACACCACGTCAAGTCCCTCATCACACCATCTGTGAGGGAATTACTACACCACGTGAGGACCCTCATAACACCATCTGTGAAGGAATTACTACACCACGTGAGGCCCCCTCATAACACCATCTGTGAGGGAATTACTACACCACGTCAGGTCCCTCATAACACCATCTGTGAGGGAATTACCACACCACGTCAGGTCCCTAATAACACCATCTGTGAGGGAATTACTACACCACGTGAGGACCCTCATAACACCATCTGTGAGGTAATTACACCACGTGAGGTCCCCCATAACACCATCTGTGAGGGAATTACTACACCACGTGGTCCCTCATAACACCATCTGCGAGGGAATTACTACACCACGTCAGGTCCCTCATAACACCATCTGAGGGAACCACTACATCACGTGAGGTCCCTCCTAACACCATCTGGGAGGGAGTTACTACACTACGTGTTTGCTGTTCAGCACGTACAATCCTACATTAATCTGTATGTTCACTGTATGTTCCTTTACCTTTCTCTAATGAATGCTTTTGTTAAACCACCAATGTATGTAATAAGTCATTTATGTCCAATGTATATTTTCAGCCTTCGGGCTGCAGAACTTTTTCAATAAACCGTTAATTATTATTATTATTATTATTATTAAATCGGGTTCATTTTCCGGAAATTCCAAGAAAATTTTTCCGCGACACAGAAAATTCCAGGGATGAGGGATATTTTTCCAGGTTTGAGAGATGATGTAATGTGCAATTTTTGGACCTTATGGGAACATTTTTCCATTACCCGGCTTTGAAAGAGTCGTCTTGTTACCTAGAAATCTTAATCCATATAACGGAATATAACTAAGCACAGCTGCGAATAAAAGTAAATAAGAGGAAATACACAAACAATAAGCACCGAGAAAGACTTAATTACTAAAGAAATGAAAGAAATATTCAAAGAGATAAAATAAGATATAGAAAAGAAAGATAAAGAATATTGAAAGAAAGACTTAGAAAATAACTTAGAAAACACCAAAGGAACTAAAAAGACTAGAGACAAGAAACTTACAATAGAATTAGAAAGTAAATAAGAAAAAATATATAAATTAATAAATATAAAGATACATCTCTTACAAATATTCTCAACTGATGAAATAAAGTCGATCAAAACTGATGGTATAATTATTAATAATCCCCCCCCCACTGTACAAATGTTAACAACTAATGGGGATAATTTTTTCACCTGCATTACACTTACCTAAACCTAAGAGGGTTTTTTTACTTGGTATTGGACACAAACTGAATGATAAGCAAAAAGAAAAATCACCAATCCTCTGTACTGCACCAAAAATTAAGATCTTCAACAAAGCAGAACTTTCTTAAATAACCAAAGAAGAATATGATTGACCTCACCATATTAGTATGTGACTGACCTGAGTGAGTGTGGTGTTGCCAGTAATGGCCTGGTTGGAGGCAACAACAGTAACAGCTACTTTTTCACACTGTTTGTCATGTACCTTTCTGAAATATGGTAACAAATAAAGGATTAGAAACAGGAGTTGGTGGGAATTTCCTAGGCACAGTACAGTAGACTCTTGCTGTTCATGGGTATTAGGTTCCACAGACCCCCACGAATAGTCAAAATCAGTGAGTCGTATTAGCAGGCAAAGAATTGTATATTTGAGATAACCGAGTCACTCATAAACACAACCAAATATGGTATTTCAGTATGTTTTCTTTAAATACACTTAAATGGTGAAAAGCATTAATAACACGCTTACTTACAGCAATATACAATTCTGTATATATTGTACTATACTATATACAGTAGGTGTACTGAACTAGTTTGTACATCATGTTTGAGATACTTATCATTCATAAACACAATCAAATATGGTATTTCAGTATGTTTTCTTTAAATACTGTACATGTACAATGGGTGAAAAGCATTAATAACACAATCAAATCATACAATATAATATACACTAAGTATAATATAAGAAAAAATGATGAGACACGAAATTGTGTGTGACGACGGAGTAGGGCGGTTGGCTGGGATGGACCCAACGGAAGTTTCCCACCCTTTTATAACAACAGTATGCAATGCCACCATAATTATCATATAATTTAGGTTCATTTGGTGCTGGTTTAATGAAATAATATTGAGTTTATTTACATAAGAAAACAGCTGACCAGCCAGCAAGTCCCGGCACCTGCTTGTCTCTCTTATTTATTTATTTAATTACTTATTGGTATAATAGTGTAGGCAGCTACCAAACAGGGAGGTACTACCGTCTGGGAACATATTGAAAGCATAATGTATTGTCTAATAAGAACATAAGGAGTCTGCAATAGGCCGGTTGGCCTGTGCATGGCAGCTCCTGTCGCGAGTTACTACCACTCTCTATCATCCATGAATCCATCCAGCCTCCTTTTAAAACTCTCCAGCGTTCCAGCTCTTACTACAAAGTTGCTAAGCTTGTTCCACTCGTCCACCACCCTATTTGTGAACCAGTTCCTTCCTATCTCCCTCCTAAACCTAAACTCATCCAACTTAAATTCTGTTGCTACAAGTCCTATCCTGCTCGGATATTATAAGAACTTTATCTATATTGCCTTTATTGATTCTTTTCACCCACTTAAATACTTCTATCATATCTCCCCGCACTCTTCGTCTTTGTCTAATGGTAGACCCTGCTGCCATATGGTATCATAAAATTTGTGACCAAGTCCCAGGTTGCTAATATGACTTTCTACATCATTAACACACAATTGCAGGGTCTCAATTGTTTCTCTAACCATTGACAACACAACATTCATATATTGTTTCTCACTTTTGATCTTTTTGTTTAATTTTTGTATTTCTTTATGGTTTATTATTATTATTATCATTTTTTTTTATTATTATTATTATTAAAGTATTATTATTATCATTATTATTTTATAAATTTTTTTTTATTTTTTATTATAAATTTTATTTACTATGAATTATTATTATTGTTGTTATTATTATTACATTTTTGTCCCCCCAGGCCCCGATGTGGGTCAGTGACCTGTGCCCGGGTGGTCTACTCCCCATGTAAAAAAAAACACAAAAAACAAAAAACAAACAGAGGAGGATTATGAGAAGGGAAGGAACTGTTTATGTAAGATAGAACACTTTTTTGTATCTCTAACCAAGATTTTATTATTAAAATTGTGATTCTATTTTTAAGGAATTCAAGAAGATGACGGTAACAATGCGTGTGTTGGGGGTGAAGGAGGGGGTTTTGAGAATTGCAATTAAATGCCAGGTAGCGACGTGTCCTCCTAATATTACGTATTAAGTAATTATTAGATGTTTTAATTGCCTGTATGTTGGCCTGACGAGTTATTGCTAGGCATTAACATACCACAGTATAAAGCTAGATGTCGCATTCTAGATTGAACAAAAAACCACGAATAGTCAAAACAACGAATGGTCATGATTTACTGTACATGGATTTGAGAACTATAATTGGCTGAATAAATAAAGTGAGAAGGTTGGTTGTCTCAAACAACATATTTTATTTAATACAAAGTGCTACATCACCTGTGTTTCTGAGTTAGGTCTACAGTACAGTAATAAACAAATTTTTCTTAAAGTTGTATCTTAATTTTGTTTTCTTTGGTTCACATCAACATTTTTATCAAATATATTTAATCTATCTAATAAAGTTTTACAATATAAAAGAAGTGTTAAGCACACAACACTGTACCTGCCTTCTTGTCTTACCTAATATGTTGTTTTAAGTCCCAGGCCCCAGCGTAAGTCTTGGTGCAGTATGAACATCGGTACCGTCGGTCTCCACGATGGCGACTGACGTGATCATCCAACTTTGTCTTGCTAACAAAGCCACGAACACATAACTGACACTGGAATGGTCTCTCACCTGCAAAAATCAAGCAACTCTATTATGATGGCATATTATTAATTACCAAGCTGGTAGTTCATTTCTGTACAGGAACACCACGGGGCAGCTCAAGTTATGATATCTTGATGTTACGAATGAGCAGGGGTGCAGTGCTGCTGGAGCTCACCGGAGCGACACTCCGGCACCTCTGTTTTGATCAATCAATCAATCAATCAATATCATCGACGCCTTGTTCCCTTCTGGGAACTCCCCAACAGAAGTGTCTCCAGTCCATTTTATCCTTGCACACCTCACTTGCTCTCTCAAACACTCTTCCTCCCCTTCCCGCTCTCTCTTCAACAAACTCTCTAACTCGTTTCTCCCAGGTGGCAAATGGTCTACCCCTCCCAACATTCCCCTCTCTCTTGCTATCATAAACTTTTTTGGTCAGCCTGTCTTCTGCAACCTCGGCACATGTCCATACCACCTTAGTGTATTCCTCTTCATCCACGCCACCACACCACACTTCACACATGAAGTTACAGTAAGCTATAAATCTATATCAATCAAACAATCAACTTTATTTTGCATTAATAATGCATATACAAAACCGAATATATCCTCATATAATTAATCTCTCCTTCAGATCAGCTAACATATTACGACTTATCAATACTGTAGAAAGACTCTGATAACAGGTGCACTTGTAAACACTTAAAAACAGTACTTTTTAAAAAGTAGGTATGTATTTCCTCTCATAAGAACTATAGATATGTGACCAATATCGAAAGGATAAGCACATTAGACTACTACTAGATAAAATATATATACAGTGAACCCTCGCTTTACGCGGTCAATTGAACCCACGAAGGCCCGCGTAAAGTGAGAAACGTGTAAAGTGAACAATAATAACATATGGGATTTATTGAAATAGAGACCGGGCTGACCCCCAAACTCCACTTTTTCCTGACACAATACCTATGTTCTAGTAAAAATAATATCTTAATTTTATGATGGTATGCACACACAATTAATATTTAAGAGGAATAGAGAAATACAGTTGCCAAGTTAATGTCCATTCAAATAATGGACTCAACTCCCCCCCACCCACCCCCTTCTCACACTCCCTGGCTCCTCCCTCTCTGAGAATCTGAGAAATGTTTGGGAGAAAACACTAGATTTTAAGGTATAGTAACAAATAATACCTCAAACTAAAGTTAGGATAATATAATTGACATTGCTGGATTCCTTGCAAGAACAGGAATATTTTGAATATACATGTCATATATTTTGCACAAAAGATAACACATGCTGAGCGTCGCATTCAGAGCATTGAACAAAACTATACTTCACCCAAACACTATCTTCCCACGATCGCTGGGTCCCTCCCTCCCTCCCTACCAGAGAAATGTTTGGGAGGAAACAGTATATTTACCTTTTTAGTAATAAATAATACCTTAGACTAAAGTTAGGATAATATAGTTGACATTGTTGGGTTCCTTGCAAGACCAGGAATATTTTCAATATACACATCATATATTTTGCACAAAAGATAACATATTTGCTCTGCGTAAACAAAATACTTACATTAGATCTAAAACTTGTATGTCTAATGCAAAATCTATGATGTTTATATTCAAAATGATCATCAAATTATAAGAATTCCAGCAATGTAAATTATATTCTGGCCGGGTAATTTGCATGAATTTTATGAGCTAAAACAAATATCTTCAATAAATAAAAAAAATATACTTACCCAAACACTATCTGTCAATCAAAATACCCCACCTCCGGCTCCCCCCCCTCTCTTCCCACCTGCTCCCTGGGTCCCTCCCTCCCTCCCTACCCCTCACCCCCACCTTCCCTCCCTACCAGAGAAATGTTTGGGTTAAAACAGTATATTTACATTTTTAGTAATAAATAATACCTCAGACTAAAGTTAGAATAATATAATTGACATTGCTGGATTCCTTGCAAGACCAGGAATATTTTGAATATACACGTCATATATTTTGCACAAAAGATAACATATTTGCTCTGAGTAAACAAAATACTTGCATTAGATAAAAAATTTGATGTTTATATTCAAAATGATCATCAAATTGTAAGAATTCCAGCAATGTAAATTATATTCTGGCCGGGCAATTTGTATGAATTTAAGAGCTAAATAAAAAATATACTTCACCCGCTTATATGAGTAGATGCACCGCGTAAAGTGGGAATTCCGGTTCTTGCAGGGTACCACGCAAATGTAGAAACACGTAAAAAAAACCCGCGTAAAGTGGGGTATTTCTGTACAGTAATACCTCACTTTACGCGGTCAATTGAACCCACGTAGGCCCGCGTAAAGCGGGAAACGCATAAAGTGAACAACAGAACATATGGGATTAATTGAAATAGAGACTGGGCCGACCCCCAAACTCCACTTTTTCAGACACAATACCTACGTTGTAGTAAAAATAACATCTTAATTTTATGATGGTATATACACACAATTAATAATTAAGAGAAATATCAATAATATTAGGTTTTTTAACACTTACATTAGTAGAAAAGATGGCTGGGCACACGGGGATGGGGGGTTGGTTCCGAGGCAGAGGGCAGATTATTGGCCCTCACCTGTATCACTTGTATCAAATGTATCACTATCCACCACAGAGGCTTGCAGGGCCTCTTTGTCAAACCCCTCAAAGTCCATATAAGTCCATATCCTCACTATAATTATCATTATCAATGACTTGGGCCGGCTGTGGTGGGTGGCGGGTGAAGAACTCGGTAATGTTTTGATGACTGGGCGACCTTGTGCGCACCATGCTCACGCCGCTTACACAACATGGCGGGACAGGGCGGGAGAGATGGCGGGGGGTTTGGATCCAAAAATGGCGCGGCTCGCCAGCCGCTCTCCATGTAAAGGGGTACACGCACCGCGGAATGTGAGCATTCCTGTTTCGGCAGGGTACCGAGTAAACGTGGAAACGCGGAATGTGGGACCGCGTAAAGCGAGGGTTGACTGTATATGTATGTATGTATGTATGTAGCCCCCTCGATCAAATTCACTGTGGAATTAGAGCAAGACTGTAAATTGCCATTCCTAGACTGTCTGATACACAGAATAGGTAACACTTTAAGTTCAGTATTTATAGAAAACCAACTAATGTGTGTTCATCCATTCATTATTATTCTGCCCACCATAATAAAGTCAAACAGTCAGTATTTTCAACAATGTTTTTACGTGCCTTGAGAATTTGCAGTCCGGAATTCATCGATGAGGAATACAAATATATATATATAATATTGGCTCAAACCTTAAATACCCAAGATCTTTCATAGACAAATGCTTAAACATTACTAAGAAAACTTTTTATAGAACTGACCCCAAGCCCACCCATGACCATAAGAATATCTTAATATTACCATTTCACAAAAATTTCTCACACATTCCTTCACAACTAAAAACCTGGAACGTCAATGTGGCATTTAAAAACTCATGCACTGTTAAACAAATGTTAATCAAGAACTCCCCCAACAACACAATTGGTTGCATTTATAAAGTTCCTTGCAAGGAATGTAATATGTTTTACTTAGGCCAGACAGGAAAAGATCTTGCAACTAGAATTAAACAACACAAATACAGTGTTAGAACAGGCCAGGAATCCAATGCTCTGTTTGTTCATTTGAGGGATAACAAGCATTGCATTGACTGGGATAATGCCTCCTCAATATTACCATGTAATTCAATTGATAGTAGGAAAATCATAGAATCTAGTCTTATTAAACATACCGAAGCATTCAACATGAATTTGAGTAACGGCATGTACAAGCTGGACAATTTTGTAATTAAGAAGATTTGTGACCAGGTGAGAAGGCCGGGTCACCTGACCATCTGACCTGACCACCAACCGTTGTGTGCTATTTAAAGATTAGTAGAGTCATTACCTAATACCTGACCATTGTGGACCTGGTCTCACCCTCCTCTGTATATATACACCTTGGTTTGTATTTCTCTCTCTAGTCTGTACTCACCCCTGAAGATGTGAATTACACGAAAGCGCTTGGGAACTTCGTGTTTTCTTCTTTCCTTGTGGTTATCAGCATATACCTAGATCACGCGGCACCTACATTGATTTACTTGTGTGTGTGTGTGTGTAATATATATATATATATATATATATATATATATATATATATATATATATATATATATATATATATATATATATATAGAGTATATATATATATATATATATATATATATATTATATATATATATATATATATATATATATATATATATATATATATATACACAATATTTTAGAATCGTAGTCATGTACTGAATATTCTATGTAAAAATATAAATTTTAAATTAATTATTTATAGTGTGGTTGACTTACACAAAGACAGTGCTATAAAAGTCAGTCTTATCTCAACCTCCTTCCTTCCCCCTCCATCCTCTGAGTATAAGGTCTTATAAATAACTTTTGTTTGTTTATTTTTCATTATTTGTCTAATTTATCATGTTGTATCAAATAATATTACTAAAAGTTTTAGGCAGCTACAAACGAAATACTACGCCTGGGAAGATATTGGAACATAATGTACAGTATTATCTAATGGTAGTCCTACTTCCATATGGCATCACTAAAGTGGACCAAGTCTTGGGTTGTGATCTATCTTTCTGTCTTTCTGCCTCATTTACACTTGCAGAGTTTCAAGTGTTCTCTTCCTTTGACAACACAACATACATACAATATAATGTTTCTCACCTTTGATCTTTCATTTTGCATTTATTTATGGTTATTTAAAATAAGGACAATTCATAAAGTTTTGGCATCAAATTTTGCCGCTGGTGTACACTAGTGACTCACTTAGCGTCAATTATTTAACTGGAACTAATGTTGGTCTGGGTAAAATATTTCCATTTACTTGAAATAGATTTGCTGATTTATTTGTTGATTTATTTATTATAATATACTGTAATATATATTAAACTGCAAGTATTTTCTTTAATTATATACTTGTTTTTGCAAAAGGAGGCTACTAATTATTACTGGTGAGGGAATTGAACATTTATGGTGATCATTAGGACCAAACTCGAATCCATGACATGACTTCTTTTCATCATTTTACATCCTAAATTTACAACTGTCGGTAGTTTCAAGAATTAACGTGATCATTTACTTGAATATTCTTTGTAAAAAAAATAAATTTTAAATTAATTATTTATAGGAGATAGTATTATGATCAGTAAATATACAGATATGCATCTGACCACCTCGAACACAAGGACGGCAAAAATAGCCCTGGCGGGTCTGGTCAAGGTCTTCCTCTGTCACTGGCAAATGGGTGGGGGGTGATGATAGCAGCTGTGTTGTACAGATATATTGTTCTTTTTGCGGTATATTTAGACAGGTTTATAATACATTTTATTTTTAATATACGGTAATCTTATTTTTAATCTAGCTTTAGCGTGGTTTCAGTATAAAATAATTAGTGGTAGGACCTTGCGGTGGTTTACACTCTATACATGCATAAACCATATTTAAGAGGTAAGAATTTTATATCTGGTGCTTAAGACGACTCTAACTTTGGGCTCATTTTTTTATGGTTCAAATTCCGTCTTATAGGCCGTGATATACGGTATTTCTAAATCCCAGTCAGAAGGCAGTGCCTGGGTCACAACTTGCTAGTTTTACTATACACAACAACATAAAAGTTTATAATATACAAATTCTCAGAAAGGTTATAAAACTTTGGGGAGAAATATTTCTCTCACATAACTCAATAGATTAAGTATGGCCACAGTACTGTACTAACAAGTAAACAGACCTGTATGTATTCTCTCATGATACTTGAGCTTCTCCTTCCTCTTGAACTTCTTCTTGCAGAAGGTACACTCAAATCGTTTTCGCTCATTGTGGACTTCCATGTGGGCCATAAGGGAATTCTGTGTCATGAATTTATTCCCACAAACCTGTAAAATCATGTCAACATACTTCACTCCACTCATCAATATACCTTGTTGAGAATGAAACAATATTATTTAAATATTGTAAATATAATATCATGGTAATACACTCAAATGGCATAACTAATGTACAACACAGGTAAACCTCCTTAATGGAGTTTGGAAGGTGTTGTGGCAGAAGTGTATAAAGTTTTAAAGTTCCATATTTGTCATCATCAGAAATGGCACAAATTTCAACCTTGGCCAAAGAGTAAAATTTGGAATGGAAAAAGGTGACTTGGTAGACAATCTCATGCACAAATATTGATTCTAGTGGATTTGCTACAGCCAGCCGTCATAAGCTGCATTAAAAACAAGGGCCACTTAATAAAACAAATTCTTTATACAAAATACCTGGCACAAAAATTTTTTCCCAAGCCATGCATCCTCAGTTTGTGATTTGTCAGGTAAATTCGCCTTATAAATTTCTTTGGACAAAGCTCACATGAAGGACCTGCTGTTGGACTCCTTCCAGATTGATGGCGCGTGTTTCTGTAGGGGCGTTCTTCTTTGGAAAATTTTTCCTCTTTCTTCACATACAAAGCACTTCTCATCCTGTAAAAAGAAATAGTGTACTGTATAAAACTAGAGTTATGTTACAAAACATGTACATAAGTAATATCTCTGTTAGCCGAATCCTCAAACAAATGCTCGATGGCGAATTTAAATTACTCGGAAAATCATTCCCAAAGCCAGAATTTAAAAATTTTCCGGCTGAACAAGTTCGAGGTTGAAATTGCTAGCATTTTCTGAAAATATGTTTAATAAAGACATTAAAACTTTTATTGATTTTTGGGGGACCTGACTGATTCAACATCAGGTGGGTAGAGTTAGAGATTAGTGGTCTCATATTACTGACATTTGATGGAATGTCAGGTCACCCTTTGGGCATATGGGCGCATTATACACTGTGATGTCACAGCTTCATCTGCAAACAACTGCAAGCATCTTAATTTTCGACAGACTCGTTACTAAAGTTAATTACTAAAAATTAACTGTGACATTTTATAAGCAAAAAACTTAAACTCCCTGTCTTATAATCCTGGTACACCCTTAATGCTGTGAGGTAGGGAGAGGAGAGTCCTTTGCATGTGTCCATGAGTTCCCCCACAAAGTGCCTCACTGATTGTTTGTTTTACTGAACTGCCTCATTCAGGAAACAATATTGTTTATTTATTTTTAATTAATTAGTTAGAGTTTATGTCACTGTAATTGTGTCTGCTTATTATGCCTGTACCCTTCATTTGCTTGTACATTCATCTTCAAGTCTTAGACCCACTAATCCCCCACCCAACAATGGGTGACCTGACAATGCATCAGGTCAGGTTAGTAACATGACCCAATAATCTCCCACCCACAGCTGAGGGAACAGTGTCTGCCTACTCTAGGCTAAGAATGACAGGATATGCTGGTGAGTACAATATATACAGTACAGTAGTATATATTATTTTGTTTATAGTATTAACACTTTTGTATGTGTACAGTGGTGTTTGTGTAAATAAATACAGATCCTGTGAGTTACATCCTTTACTCTTGGAAATACCACACTGTCTTGCTGTAACACAGCTCTATTCATGCCTGCATCATATGGATCTTTTGTTTTTTAAATATATTTATTTAATAACTTTTAGATAAAGTATTCAGGAATATTTTGATAAAAAAAATGGTGTGTATAACTAAATTAGAACTGAGTTTACGACTCTGGTATCAACATTTCTTACATTTTTTCATTTTTTTTATAAAACAATGGAATTCCCATCACTATATCATATCAAAATATTTTTAAACTTCACAGAGAATTTATTTGGGATCATTACGGTATAAAATTCATCTCCCTATCACAATTAGGCATGCTTCAGTGAGAACAGGATGCTGACCATAGGTACAATCCCAAGGAGGTTCTTCCGTCAACAACACTCAGCTACACCCCTCACTGTGCTACACCAACACCAGCCACCATCACACACACACCCTACAACCACCCACACACCACTCCAACAACCACACCCTCCAAAACCACCCCACACACCTCCAACAACCACCCACACACACCTCTACAACCACCACACACATCAACAACCACCCCACCACACCCTCCACCCTCCAACAACCAACACACACCTCCAACAACCACCTCCAACACCCACCACCCACCTCAACACCACCTCCAACAACCACCCACACCCACCCACACCCACACCTCAACAACCCCACCAACCTCAACAACCACACACCCACCTCCAACAACCACCCCACCACCCTCCAACCCACCACACCTCCAACAACCACCCACACCACCCTCCAACAACCACCCACACACCCACCTCCAACAACCACCCTCCAACAACCACCCACACACCCTCCAACAACCACCCACACCCTCCCCAACCACCCACACACACCTCCAACAACCCACCACACACACTCCCAACCACCCACACACACCCTCCAACAACCACCACACACCCTCCAACAACCACCCACACACACCAACAACCACCTCCAACAACCACCCACACACCCACCCTCCAACAACCACCCACACACACACCTCAACAACCACCCACACACCTCAACAACACCCCACACACACACCTCCAACAACACACACACCCTCAACAACCCACCCACACACCTCAACAACCACCTCCAACAACCACCCACACACACCCTCAACAACACCCACACACACATGACCACCCACACACAACCTCACCCACAACTCCATCAGTCACATCATCACCACCCCACACATCACACACACCCAACATCACACACACCACCCTCCAACAACCACCCCACCTACAACAACCACCCACACACACACCATCCAACAACCACCCACACCCTACAGCCACCCCACACACCTACACTGACCACCCACCATCTGAACTCAACTCACATCATCACTCCCCCCACACACACACACACATCACAACCCCCCACCTCCACACACACACATTCCAACACCACTCACATACCCCTAACAAGGGAATTAAGACAGCAAGCATAAGGAGTGAAGGTCTTATTGTATGACACATCTGTGTGTGTGTGACTGCAAGGTAGCGAGTTAATTATCAGCTGTTGAGGAGCGCTTAACAACACTCATTTCCGCTTCATCTCTCTAATCTTCTACACCTTTCAGCTTTCTCACTCCATATTCTAAAATTTTATGTAACGTAATGTTGAAGGAACACAACTTTGCTTATTTATACTTATACAGTAATATTTCCGTTAGCCGAAATCTCTCAAACCCGGAAATCCCCGATAGCTGGAATTGAAATTTGCTCGGAAAATCAATCCCAAAGGCGTAATTTTCCAAAAATTTCAGGCTATATGAACAAATTTTCTGTGGTTGAAAATCAAGAGAATGTTCTGAAAATATCTTGAATAAAGATGAAAGTTAAAGTATTTTATTTGGGGGAGGACCTGACCTGACCTGACTCAGTGTCAGGTGGGAGTAGGGTGAGGGATTAGTGGTCTCATATTACTGACCTTCTGATGGAATGTCAGGTCACCCTTTCTTGGATGAGGGATTAGTGGGTCTCATGACCTGAAGATGTCTTGAATAAACACGAAACCTAAAGTATTTTTAGGGAGATTGTGGTAAGTATAAGTAAAAATGAGCAAAGTTGCATCCCTTCAACATTACATTACGTAATATTTTAACATATGGAGTGAGAAAGCAGAAAGGTGTGGGTAATTAGAGAGATGGAGTGGAAAAGGAGTGGTAACATGCACCAGTGTTGCCAAGTGATAAGCTCCTCAACAGCTGATCTTTTAATTCACCTCCATGCAGTCACAAACAAGACCCTCACTGGATGCTTGTTGTCTTAATTCCAGTGTGTGTGTGTGTGTGTGTGTGTGTTTTAAGCTTGCCAAGCACATTGTAGGATTTGAAGAAGCTGATGAAGAGTTTGTTCATGAGTCAGGTGGTGAGGTGACATGCCAAGACACTTACACAGCACACACATTAACAGCATTACTAAACCATTGCCTTAAAACATTTTACATTATAATTTTCAATTATTTTTATTAATTGATACATGATAGCTAAACAGGGCTACTTTTGCACTTAGACAACTAATCAATGAATAAACCAGGGCATATGGAGACTCATTAATAATAATAATAATGGATGCCCCTCGAAATCGAGGATGGCCTGCCCTACGGCCACCTAGGCGTGAATTTATTTAAGGAGTAGAAGCTGTCACCAACATCATAACCACACCCAAGGTTCAGGTTAATGAGCTGCATGACCCAGTGTCTAGGAATAGTCCGAGAAGACCAGACAACTAGCCAACTGCACTGGCTAACCATTACCCCCGAATACGATCCGCAAATCGATTAACATCAAGGTTCCCAATTACTACTGGGTAGACAGAGGCAAGTGGTGTAAAGAAAGTTACCCATAGTTTCACCCTGCCCGAGGATCGAACTCAGGTCCACTCGCTTGTGAAGCGAGGATGCTGACCAATAGTGATGTCACAAAGCTTTGAACCTTTACTCAATTGTACCAAGTTAATTTCTAAAATTATTATGTATGGTATGGTGCAAAATAATGGATGTTTAGACTCAAATTAATTGCTATCTTACAAGAATTTTAGCAATGTAAGTTTTAATCTCCTAAGTCAGGTCAGTGGCATTTTATAAAAAATTTAAACCCCTCTGCCTGGAGTCAACAACCCACCTCCACCCTCCCCCCAGCCAGAAGGAAAAGGGTCTATTTAGGGTAAAAGTGACCACGACACCCTCCCTCCCAAATGGCTCTGTGTGTGTGTGTGTTGGTGCATGCATGTGTGTGTGTGATAATAATAATAATAATAATAATAATAATAATAATAATAATAATAATAATAATAATAATAATAATAATAATAATAATATTAATAATAATAATAATAAAAATTAAAGGTTTATTGAAAAAGTTCTGCAGCCCGAAGGCTGAAAATATACATTAGACAATAATGACTTATTACTTACAAAGACATAGGGTGGGTGGGTCATCTAACAAAAGCTCTCATGACTGAAAGGAGAAGGATCATGAACTGAACATACAAATTATTCTAGTTTGCAACTGATGGTCCGAGCTGGTCTCTTGCCATACTGTGTGAGGTCACGTAGGCCTCGTGGTTCAGTAACTTGTGTGTTTGTGTGGTGCAAAATAAGTGATGTTTATACTCAAATTAATCGCTATCTTGCAAGAACTCTAGCAATACAGGTTATATTCTCCTAAGTCAAGTCAGTGGCATTATATAAGGTTAATCTCTCCTCCGGGGGGGGGGTAAAAGCGACCGTGCCACGGGTCGTCTCACTGTTTGTCCACTCTTCATGATACAATATTGTTTATTTGTTTTTCATTAATTAGTACAGATACGTTACTGTAATAATCTGTGCTTATTAATACCTGTACCCTTCATATACAATACAGTACAGTAATACCCCGCTTAGCGCGATTTCACGTATACGCGGTGACTTGCCAGAGCCGAACTTTCACTTAACTCGGGTTTTTTCCACGTATAGGCGCAGAGTGTCCGGCTCGAGACGCTATTTTTAGATTCACCCCACCCGCCACCCCCTGCCTGCCTGCCTGCCTGTTTTAGCTCATAAAATTCATACAAATTACCCGGCTGGAATTCTTACAATATGATGATCATTTTGAATATAAAAATCATAGATTTTGCATTACACATACAAATTTTAGATATAATGTTTACTCTGAGTAAATATGTTATTTTTTGTGCAAAATATATGACATTTGTATTCAAAATATTCCTGGTCTTACAAGGAATCCAGCAATGTCAATTATATTATCCTAACTTTAGTTTGAGGTATTATTTATTACTAAAAAGTAAATATTCTGGTTTTCCCGCACATCTGGTAGGGAGGGTTGGTGGGGGGTGGGGGGGAGGGGAGGGACCGACCGACCATCTGTTACCGTGTGAAGAATATTTTTTTTTTTTATTAACTGAAGATATTTGTTTTAGCTCATAAAATTCATACAAATTACCCGGTCAGAATATAATTTACATTGCTGGAATTCTTACAATTTGATGATCATTTTGAATATAAACATCATAGATTTTGCATTAGACCAGGGGTCACCAAACTACGGCCCGTGGGCCGGATCCGGCCCGCGACGTCAGTTCATCAGGCCCGCCGTGGTAGCTCCGCCTACGCTCTGACGTTACCATGGTTTCCATGGCTTTCGTTCTGGCTTGCAAGTATTGAACAGAATGATTATGCGGCCCGCGCTCGTCATTCTTTCAGTTATCCGGCCCACTGTGAAAAAAGTTTGGTGACCCCTGCATTAGACATACAAATGTTAGATATAATGTTTACTCTGAGTAAATATGTTATCTTTTGTGCAAAATATATGACATTTATATTCAAAATATTCCTGGTCTTACAAGGAATCCAGCAATGTCAATTATATTATCCTAACTTTAATCTGAGGTATTATTTAATACTAAATGTTAAAATTTAGTTTTTTCACCCAACATCTCTTGAAGGGAGGATTGGTGGGGGGTGGGGGGGAGGGTTGGGACGACCGACCGCGCGGTTGGAAGAGGGGGGAGGCAAGGTGGGGTACTTTGATTGACAGATAGTGTCGTGAAGAATATTTTTTTTTTTATTAACTGAAGATATTTGTTTTAGCTCATAAAATTCATACAAATTACCCGGCCAGAATATAATTTACATTGCTGGAATTCTTACAATTTGGTGATCATTTTGAATATAAACATCATAGATTTTGCATTAGACATACAAATTTTAGATATAATGTTTACTCTGAGTAAATATGTTATCTTTTGTGCAAAATATATGACATTTACATTCAAAATATTCCTGGTCTTACAAGGAATCCAGCAATGTCAATTATATTATCCTAACTTTAGTTTGAGGTATTATTTATTAAAATTTAGTGGTTTTCCCCCCAAAATTTCTCGGAGGGAAGAGCCAGCGAGTGTAGTGTGAGAAGAGGGGGAGGGAGTTGAGTCCATTATTTGAATGGACATTAACTTGGCGACTGTATTTCTCTACTTCTCTTAAGTATAAATTGTGTGCATGTACTATCATAAAACTAAGATGTTATTTTTACTAGAACATAGGTATTGTGTCGGAAAAAGTAGAGTTTGGGGGTCCGGCCAGTCTCTATTGGAATTAATCCCATATGTTCTGTTGTTCACTTAACGCGGTTTTCACTTAACACGGTACCCTGTGGGTTCAATTGACCGCGTTAAGCGGGGTACTACTGTATAGTACTATGGACTGCATATACCTCATAGGTACAAAATAATGTCATTTAAGACATATTCAGGTCATAAGACCCACTAATCCCCCACCCAACACTGGGTGACCTAACGTTGAATCAGGTCAGGTTAGTAACGTGACCCAATAATCTCGCACCCAACCTCCATCACAAGTGTTAAGACAAGATTAGTCATGTATTACAGTCAATTGAGTGAAGTGTAACAGAGACGTGACAATCGCCAATCGCCAAGCGACTAACGAGCTGATCAGTGGTGAAGATAAAAGAAACAGCTCTGTTCACGCCTGTATCATATATATCTTTTGGTTTTTTTTAATACATTTATTTAAGCAAACTTTTAGATAAAGTATCCAGGATAATTTTGATGAAAAATAAATGGTGTCTAACGAAATTAGAACTGATTTTACTGACTCAGCTATCAACATTTCATAGTTTTTTTTTATACAAGAATGGAATTCCCATCACTATATCATATAGAAATATTTGGTTTAAGGATATCTTATTGGAAATGTTTAGTAGAGAATTTATTAAGGATCATTATGGTATCAAATTTATCTCCCTATCACAATTAGCCACACTCCAGTGAGGAAGGGGGGGGGGGGAGAAAAGTGACTGTGAGACCCTCCCCCCTTATCCCCCAAAAAAGATTCGACTTCCACACTCTTCAGTCAAACATTACACACCATCACACACATACACACACAAACACTCCAACAACCAGCCACACACACACACACTCTCCCCACATGCACTCCAACACCACTCACATACCCCTAACAAGGGAATTAAGACAGTAGACATAAGGAGTGAAGGTCTTATTGTATGATACATCTGCGTGTGTGTGACTGCAAGTTAAATATCAGCTGTTGAGGAGCACTTGGCAACACTCCTTTCCACTCCATCTCTCTAATCACCCACACCTTTCTGCTTTCTCACTCCATACTTTAAAATGTTATGTAATGTAATGTTGAAGGGATACAACTTTGCTCATTTATACTTATACTTATCACAATCTCTCTAAAAATACTTTAGGCTTCGTGTTTATTCAAGACATCTTCAAGTCATGAGACCCACTAATCCCCACCCAAGAAAGGGTGACCTGACACTCCACCTGGCATTGCGTCAGGTCAGGTACACAAGACCCACTAATCCCCCACAGCTCCATGGGAGTGGAAAATACCAGTTTTTGCTGTAACACACAGTTTCATTCACGCCCATATCATATTGATTTTTAATTTTCAAATATATTCATTTTACTAAACTTTTAGATAAACTATTCTGGATTATTATAGTAAAGAAATGGAGTTTCTAACTTAATTAGAACTGCATTTACAGACTGGTAGTTTAGACTCAAGGAAAACATCCCCAGTACCCAGAAACGTTCTGGGGAAGTGGGCTAGTGTCTGTGTGTGCAAGAGGTCTAGTTTAGACACTCGGAAGCTTTTCCCAGTAACCGGAAAATATTCCGGGGATAAGGAATTTTTTCGGGTTAGAGAAAGTCGTCTGGTTAGCCGGAAATCTCTCATCCCCGGAAGTGCTCTGCACCAATTGTTCCGGCTAACGGAGATATCACTCATAAGAAGAAAAAATAAATAAATAAATAAATACAGTACATAAAAAATTTTGAACATAATTTTGCCATTAAATTGGTGATAAATTTATTCTCATATCCATCAAATACTTCAGGCAATACTTAGTACAGTATTCATCAAATACAAGATCTCAAATCATTACTAAAGGATTAGATACAAAAACTGTTATGATTTATCAAAAAATTATCACATTAAAAAATGCACTAAGGTCATACTTATGGAATTTTTTCTTGTGGTAGTTAAGCTCCTTCTGTGTGGTAAATAAGAGTGCACACACATTACACGGGTAAGGCCCAGGAGAACACCGCGGCAGATGGTAGGTGATACGCTTGAAGGTCCGGTATTCCACACCACACGTTTCACACACGAACTTACGCAGTTTGTGCAGCTTGAGTACGTTGGTAATAAGAATTCGGTTTGAAAGCTGGAATAGGATACTATGTCAATCATAAAAAAACATAAAAAACATGAATAATTCTTTATAAATTCTGCTTATGTATTGTACTGTAGTGATTAATTTGTGTTGCTGGCAGGGATGTAACACTTGGGGGAGGGATAGCAACCCCCACTGTTAGGTTATGGTATAATGCATTATAACACTTGGGAGAGCATAATAAACCAGATCAGGTATTTACAGAGAAATATGTAAAAACTTACAGTTGATGTTGTGTTCTCATCATCAGTGGGAAGGCGACAGGTGTGAGTGTTGAACCTGTGCACAGACAGACAAGCCAGGTTGCAGGTCTTGCAACAATACAATGGTAATGTGTTGTTGCTCATGAGTTCTGCATTTCCCACCTCCACACCATCTTCGTCCAAGTGCACCTTAAATAAAATTTATAATTTTTCTACTACCTGTACATCATAATTTAAGCAGAATATCAATTCTCAAATCCAAACATTCAACTAAACTTTTAACCATTGATTATTATTATCACCTCAATACAAATAAGTGTTGTCTAAAGACAACGTACCTCACCTGCTGGATATTATCACATATTAATATAAAAATTTATTAGTTCAGAGACTTCTAAAACATGATTTGGAGACAACAGCTTAACCATTCCGGTGCGAATGCCAACTACAATGATGGAGGTATAGCCAATACTCTTCTGGAAGCACATGTGAATTCCTTCAAAAACTTTTCAGTTACAGTATTTACCACAGCTCATTTACCACTGACTGTTGACAACTCTATGATAACTTTTGAAATAGGTACTGAACACTTACTCATACAAGTTGGAATAACCCATAAATTCAATCAACATCATTACAGAAGAATTTAACACTATTGAGAACTTATCAAAACATCGTAAATGAGATGCAGCAGCAGACCAAACCAAAACAAAATACTACAGGTAAGCCTCGAATTACAATAGGGTTATAGTCCTGAAAATCCTATTATAAATTGAGTTCATTTTAACATGGGGTTGAATGGGATATGTTCCCAGTCAGTCCGACACGTGCATGTACAGGTATTACTGAAAAAAATCTTACACTAATAAAATAAATACTGTAGAGAAGAATTAAACAACACTCACTACATCATTAAGAACAAGCCTGGCCGCGTCACAATGTCAAGCTTCACCTCCAGAGACACGGTTTTCCTGAGCACCTTGGCCTTCCCAGATGCAGGAGCCTTCAGCAAACTGCTTGCTAGACATTTTCAAAGTTACACTGTTTACTTCACAGTCACAAAAATATAGCAAAAGCACTTCATAATCACAAAAACAGAGTACAATCTGAACACTAATGATGTCCCCTCACTGAAGAAAAATAAAACACCGATGACAAGGTAACAACAATGATAATGGCTGACACTGCTAAATTTCATGTTAACAAAAATAGAGACAAAGTACAGTATTACCCGTCGCAGCGCTTTTTCATAGCGCGTTTTTATCGCCTGTGATTGCCTTGCCAAAGCTGAACTTTCACTTAGCGGGTTTTTCCAACAACATCCCTCAAAGGCCACGCCCGGTTTAGTGCGCTCCATTGTTCCGTAAATGGCTTCGCGGTTCCACCCAGAAAACCTTTCTTACCTGGACCCAGCGGCACTAAACCAAAGAACACGGCGTTCATTAAGCTACGAGCTGAAGTACCAAATTGTTCAAGATTTGGAGAAAGGGAAGGCATGGATTGATCTCGTAGCGCCAGCATGGTGTCATAGTCACGATTAGTACAATAAAGAAAGGATGCAGCCAAGATAAAGAGGCATATGAAGATCACAAAGTCTGCAGGTGCTTCATCTATCAGGCATTGCCAGAACAGGGTGCTGGCAAAAGTGACTTTTGCTGGTGAGGTTATTTGGTGGAGTCAGGCGGCGCCAACATGGCGGTGGACGCGCTCAGTGCAGGAGTACTCACGTGAGCTATGCGGCAGCAGTGACCGCGTAAACTGGAATTGCAGAGCCCGACCCTTCAATGCTTCCATGGTTGGCTGCATGGAATAGAGGAACAGATCACCAACATCAGGCATTGTTGGTGAGGAAGCGAGTGCTGACCGTCGTGATAGAATTTTCCTCCGTTTTTACGTGAGATTATGGAGGAAGGACAGTACAGTGGCGACCAGGTGTTGTAACATGGACGAATCTGGTCTTTTCTGGAAAAGTTACCTTCAAGACCTTAGTTGTTTCAGTCTGCGAGCAAGGTAGGGCGAATGCAGAAGAGCCCATGCATCCTGTTTACCACCAATGCCTCCGGTACCTGTAAACCAAAGTTATCGGTGATTCACAAAGCCCGCAGCCTTGCGCCTACAAGAATATGGGCATGAACAAGCTTAATGTCCACTGGCTAACCCTTGCGTAAGGCGTGGATGTCCTCTTCTCTGTCCCTCTTCTGGTTTGACAACTTTTTTGTTCTGGCGTGCAGAAATTCTGCGAGCAACAGAATGTTCCTTTCAATATTTTGTTGCTCCTTGACAACGCACCTGGACACTCGCTACTTATGGATCGTCACCCCAAGCGTAAAGTGGTCTTCCTTCCTCCCAACACTCGTCATTAATCCAGCCCATGGACGAGGAGTTAATCTGCAATGTTAAAGCTGCATACTCGGCAAGAAATTCAAGCTCCTGAACGACTCTACCAACACCAAGGATGAGTTGCGTAAGCTGGGTGACACCGACAGCGAGTAAAAGCGGCGAGGACAAGGAACAGAGGCGACTCAAGAACTTCTCGTCAAACAATTTTGGAAGAGGTTTAACGTCAAACAAGCTGTAGCTTTTGGTGGAGGCATGGGATCTGCTGTCTATTGCTCACGATTAGTCGCATGGAGACATGTGTTGCATGGCATACCAGGTGAGAGGAGGTGAACCTGTGACTGGTCAGGTTCAGACTGTTGCAGTAGCAGTGGACCTTGCCAGAAAGCTGCGCTCAATATTACAGTTGAAGGCTTCTCCGGACCACCGAAGACATCCTGGGTGATCAGAGATCCTGAAGTGACTGCCGGCGAGATGTTGGAAGAAGATCACGTTAGTGAAGAGGAGGAAGAAGGTCGTCATTCTCCGAAGAACCTAGTTTAAGTCATAGTGATATTAAGTGTGTCATAGAGTTAACAGAAAAAATTAAGTCCATCGTTTCTCATGACACTGATGAGCATGTAGCGTCTTCCATACCCGACTGGTGCAGGCTGTAGGCCGTACATCACGGTGTATCATGAAAACATCAAAGCCAGCCGTCAGCAAAGCATAACCGGAGTTCTTAGCCCACAACCCACCACAGCCAGCCCAAGCCAGTGATAGTGATAGTGAAGTTGATTTTGAGGTTTGTCAGGGGAAGCCATAACAACTGTAAGTGACAGTGATATTGATTCACTGTGTGGTGATTCACCTAGTAATGGTGATTCACCTAGTAATGGTATTGATTCACCTGAGGGCAGTAATCTGCCCTCTGCCTCGAACCAGCCTCCATCCCGTGGCATGTCGATCCATCTCTTCTACAGCAATACGTAACCTACC